CAGACAGGCAGACAGGCAGACAGGCAGACAGGCAGACAGGCAGACAGGCAGACAGACAGGCAGACAGACAGATCGAGGCTAGACCACCTTACCCGGGTCCCGTCTTCGCCGACATGCGCATGCTACTTGCAGGCCCCCCTAAAACACGATCCGGGCGAATGATACGAACCATTTCCATTGGGACATTCACTGCGCTCATGGAGGCGAGGATGGAGCTGCTGGAGATCCTATGCTCGGCTGCCGGTCCCAGCGGTGGGGAATGGGCGAGACTGGTCGCTGCCAGAAGACAAAGATGGTCGCAAATCAATGACTTTGTCGAGTGCAGTGAAAGCGGATAGCTTGGAATCAACAGGAACGAGCTTGCGGCAATTACCGCGAAAGGTGAAAGATGCGACAGCTTCCGTTCTGGCCCAACGACCCACAGACTCAGGCTGGTCGTCGGTCCAGCTCAGCCCCAAGGACCGGATGTAAACAGGATGAGATCGGCATGGATGGTTGGGAGATGTTGGGAGGTTGAGCAGATGAGAATTTCAGCCTCAGTGAGTGGCCCCGAACGCAGATCTTCTTTGTGCTGGGCAAAACTTAGGCCAAAACGAAGGGGTTCTGCTTCGGGGTTTGAACCACAACTAGTACCACAACTCAGATGCTCATTTGAAGGGGGCTTTGCCTTCCATCAGGGCCCATCAGGGTGTTTGTTCCAAGTCGTTGGTCCAAGTGTTTAACTAATATTGACACCCTTCCCCACACCCAGAGTGGAGTGACGGTCAACAAGATCAGTCCCCCTCTTCTACATCCTTCTTTGTGCCGCTGGTTGGCCAAAGGACGTGAATCGGTTTTGATGCTTCTTCTTCAGAGGCTTTGACAACATGACCTCCTGCTTGCTTCTCTCAAGCCTCCAATACATGACAGAAGAGCGAGAGAACCAAACGGTGTGGCCAAGTAAAAAAAAAGTATATACGAATAGACAAACGAGAAACAAGCAAACACAAACGACATATATATATATATATATACAGTATATTGATCTGAATGTGGCTTCTCCATTTTGGCGAGTTCCTCAGAGTTCCGAGGCTCCGCCGTTCGCTTGGGAGCTCCGCCGTTCCCCTCGTCGCGGGTCGGCGTTGGAATGAGTCCGGCCGAGTCCGGCCTCAGGATGAAGCCAAGGGCACCTGCGAGGCCAAGCTGACGGTGGTCCTGAGGCCCAGCAGCCCTCACAACTCCATCGACGAGGCGGGGGTGGCAGATGGTTTCCTGGAAGAAGTGGTGGATGTGGAGTTTTTTGGGGTTGGCTTCTGGGTTTCTGTAAGAGAAAGGTGCATGTTTTTTTCATGAACAAAACAGGATTTGGTCGATCTTCCATCTGATCTGTGCTTGGGTGTTTTGTGCTGCACACAGACAGATGCCGCGCTTTGCCTTTGGTTTCGCCAGCCTTGAAGGAAAGGATAGTTTGTGGTCGTTCTGACTGCAAAAGAAAGTCTTTTTTTTGCCCGTGTGATACGGCTTTTTTTAGCATCAGTTCTTTGCCTGGTGACATGTAAACGATGTTGGGCCTGAGTGAGAACACACAAAAAACACACCAACTGGTACCTACGAAATCCCTGGCCCTAGTAGACTGGAGCAACAACACTGGTCTCGACCAGAATAGAGTCTAGAGCAGCACATGCGAACACAAGGAACTTCTTTCAATGCTGAGGACCGGAGATCCTCGACAAGGAAAAGGACAAATGGATTGTTCAGCACAAATTGACTACTCAACGCCTCATGTGAGTTGATGGTCCCCCAACGAGCCGCGGCCGTGGGGTGGACCCTGAGGTGAACTCCGAGGTGATCTTCATCAGCGTGGGAGAGCCCGCCAAGCGAGGGCCGCCGGGCGGCAGCGGGGCGGCGTAAAGACCGACGTCGAGGACTGGCGCGAGTGTTGGTGGCAGAGGATCTCGGCGGTCTTGGAGGGACTCATGTTTGGCTTTTGGAGATGGGCAGGCGAAAGAATCAAGTGTTGGTGTCCAAATGAGACCTGCTGGCAATTCATTCCCATTCATTCCCCCAAAAAACCGCAGGTGATTTCTGGGCCTCTTCCATTCGAAGACATACCGAAGTGAACTGGAGATTGGGAGCAAGTGCATGCAACAGCAAGGATTTGTTTATTTTTATTTCTTCCCCAGTTCACTTGTTTGAAGATGCAAATTACATGGTGTTTTCCCTTTGAATCCAAATACCCCTCGGCCCTCGACAGACATTCCAGACACGGCACATCCCAAGAGTCCAAATGCATCCGCACCACAAGAGACGCTTCCCAAACCTGCTCCAAATCGCTGTGCACCGGAGACCATCGCCCCGGTTGAACACGCGGTCGAACCACGCGCGCCTTGGCGGTCCGCCGCATCGACCGGTTGGCCGTCCGAGTCGACCTCGGTCGACCGAGGCGCGCCGACACGGAGTTGGCGGGCTTCATCACACATGTGTTGGAGCTGAACGAGGAACAGGTGTGCCCCCCGCGGAAAGTCCACCGGTCAAACGGTGGGACGGAAACCCCTGGTTTTGCAAGTCAAGTGTCCACAAAAAAAAGTCCACTGCTGGTGACTCGGTGGGTAGTTGAAATGGAAGAAATGGAAGAGATGTTGATCTGAAGCCATTTGACTCTTTGTTTTGGATGGACAAAAAGCATGAACACGCAATATTTTGGCTCGGGTATACACTTGGGTGTTTGCTGTCCAGCTTTGCTGAAGGAGTTTTTGAAGGGCTCAAGATGTCCGGTCATGGTCACTTACGTCAGGTCTAATCATTCCATATCCATCCACTTTTTTAAACAGTAACTTGCTCCCCAATCCCTGGAAGTGCCCTCTGGCTTGGGGAACCGCCACCATCCGCCACCCTATCCGTGTTCAGCCAGATGACGACTTGGGGCATCAATTGTGACTGTCACTAGAGGCCTCAATGATTTGCTGAAAGTGGCAAGTGTACTGCGATTTTCCAATGTGTGCACAGGTGAAATTGGAGGAGAATGTGAGCAAGAAGAGCATCTCACCCAGGGATGACAAGAGGGTCCTTTGCAGGCGAAGGTACACCACAGGTTTGCACATGCACACATGCAAGGAGTCTGGCTCATCTCAACCAGGGTTGAACCTCTACTGTTTTGGTGTGTCTAGGAGGGGCCCCTTTCGTTTTTTTTGCAGTCCATGGTTTTGGAGCAGTAGAGAACTCTCGAATCTGCGCCACGCTTTGCGTTTGAAGCAGGCCAGAGATTCTGAGTCCAACGAAATCCTCAACATTGGACTCTTGCCTTGGACTACTAGTAGTGCCAACCTGAGGCAAAACGCTGGTGCTCTCTGGCTTGTCCCACGACAAGCGCAGCCTCATTTGGCAGTTGCAATCCAAGGCGATCGAGAGAACTCGCTTCGACGTGACGGGCGACTCGCGCGAGTCGCGAGTCGGCGCGGGTCGCGAAGGCTAACGGCTTTTTGGGAAGTCCGAAGACTGGAGGCCAGGGGGAGTAGATTTAGAGATCGTTAGAGCAACATGGTGGACTTATGTGGACTTGCTGGAATTTTTCAAGGGGGTTATACACCAAGGATCCTCAAGGACTCACAAAAACGCATGCGTTCCTCACCAGAATCGGCCTTTGTTCCTCACCATCCCCATGGTCTCCGGCCCGTCGGCCGCGGGCGTTTTGACTCATTGAACTCCCCAAGGTCCTGGTAGTGGTGGATGGATTGACTACCAGGTGGAGTAGTTCATGAGTCAAGTCACGGAAGTTCTGGGTAAGGAAAAAGGACATGAGAGGTTCTCTGGGGCGTTGTAGAGGGAGGGATTTGTTGACAGGTGGGGCAAAAGCATGCTGCTCGCTTTGCCGCGGAGAAGGCCAACGCAGTTTCTTGGTCTGAATTAGGGGAACTCGCTCGGATTTCTGTCAATCTGCACACATGGAGATCTTTCGCAGGGCACCCCCCCCCGCCCTCCCCAAAATAGAAAACTCCACGAGTTTCGCTCGGTATCTTCAATCCGTGTGACTGCCCAGGCCCTCCGCGACGAGGACCAGTCCTCGAAGCGGCGGAAGGAGCTCGGGGGATGTTCTTGTCGGTGGAGGCGTCGTCATCGGAGTCATTGGGGGTTCATGTCTTTCGCCTTCTTTTTGTTTCGACCATCTAGATGAAGCGTTGGTTGCCCGCCGTAGTCTATTCCTGACAGGCATTTATTTTTTTCTGGAACGGTCCGTTCTTTTTTCCCGATTGATGCTAGCGAGGAAAACAGTGCCGTTTATACCCCTAACACATCTGCGCAAGAGATGTCTTTGTTCCTGTGTAGAAGGATCCACTGTTGGTGCTCTTCTGTTGGGGGTTGCCGCCCCCCCGATGGACGCTCAAGGCGAGCCTCTCTTGCTGGTAACTTGCTGGTCTTGGGAGATTGGGAGAGAAAAGAATCATTTACTGGCGGATGGACGTGGCTTCTGGTTTTTTGGACCACTCCAACTGCTTGGAGTATAATATCTTGGAATCATTTGGGTGGGGAGTGGCCGCTGAATCCAGAGAAGTTGTTTTTTCTTCAGAACTTCAGCCTGCAGGACGAGCAGAGTGAGTACCGGAGATTACAAGAGGAGGAGCTGTGATGACTGTGGACTGGGCATGACTGGGCGCTGAATGGACCTTTGGAAGGATTCTGGCATTTCAGTCCCGGTTGGGACGAGGGGAATTAGTAACTAGTAACTAGTACATCACCAACCATGCTGGCGTGGTCACATAGAAAGTTATGTTTATTACGCCATGTGATCAGAAGTTTCCTGAATCAATTGGCTGCAGCTAAGAAGATTTTGCCCACCTGATTTTCAAATCTGGTTGACCAGCAATGCTCAGCCTTGTAGTAGGTAGTGTGGCCTTGCCCAATTCTGCAGGCAGATGCAGATGCAGTGTCTGCCGCAGCTGCGTTACCCTCTCCCTATGCAGAGAAGGCACACTAGTCTTCGACATTCAGTGGGGTGAGGTCGTGTGCTCGGAGGGTCGGCGGTGGTGAATCCACGATGAATTCTGCCAATCAACGATCAATTAGTATCCAATAGTGGCACAACTTGATTATTAAAGCAACCTTAGCGGAAGGACGACCGGGCGACCACATCGTCATCCTCATCAATTACGGGCCCCTCCCTTTTTGTTTGTGGCAAAGGCAAAGATGAAGATGCACCCCAAAGATAGAAAAGACATGAAACCACTTGGGAATCAGGATCATTTTGGGGAACTCCCATCTAATAGGTGCCAAGGGCGCCTTCGCGACCTGTGCCTCATTGCACAGGTCGCGTCGCGGCCTGCCTTGCCACGGGGCCTCCGGGTGCGGAGGCGGGGGCGAGGTTGATGAAAGGAGTTTGGTCAACAGTCAACTCCTTAAGAATGAAAAGAGAAGAATTCTCAGGACATGGGCTGACCTTGAAGATGAAAGTCAAGGGTTCAGCTATATAGGCTGAGAATAGCAAATTTGGTGCAAATAGCGGGGCCCGACACGGGGTCACTCCTGTAAGTCCAGCTTTCGGGACCGACTTGGGCATCCGAGTTGTAGACAGGCCGATGCCGGCAACCCGTTCGGAACCGTGGTTTGCGCATGTTTGCGACGCACGCAGCATTTGATCCCCGAACTCGGCGGAATGTCCCAGGTTTCAGCATCACCCACCCGACCAACCGGTGGCCCGTGGCCAGGCCCGGTGAGGAAGCCTTGCAGCCGGAGCCGTCGGAGGCGTGCTCGATGCCAGAAGAGAAGGACGAGGTGGAGCAAAAGGTGGACGATTCAGGACGGCCAGAGTCTGGTCGGGTCGTTTGGGGGGGCCATTGGCCACCAGGCAGCTTCTGTAAAGAGGATCAGCTTGTTTTATCTGGTTTTCCATGGTTTCGGAGGCAGGTTCTGAGGGGCTTTCCTTGTTTTCCGTTTTCGAGGCATGCTTTGCTTCCTGCACGAGGTGTCTCTCCTCGTGCGGTCCCTCGTCCACTAGGTCGAACCTGACTCTCCGCCGCGATTCGCGACTTCCCGCACACTCGATCGATGGCCATGTGGAAACACTGTCATGTTCGATCCCTACACCCCTCCCTCTTATGATGCTTCCGGGAGGGGAGGCCTCAAAAATGCCAGTTACATTTTAGGATATTTTAGGTTGGGGACCCTTAGGGGATGCGACGTTCGTAGGACGCTCTCTTCTTCCGTTCGTTTTGTTTTCGCCCCGTTCGGTTCCGACCGCTCCGAATTCGTCGCGGTGCCCTTTGTGACTAAGTACTGGTACTGTAGCAAGCTCCCCACTCTTTCGATGATCCAAATGGGAGCATGGCGTCCGCAGGGCCCACGCGGAGCCGTGGCCATTTGGTCTCGTTACTTGTGTGTGTTTTTCCGAGATGGAGTGGACGCGTTACTTGTACCACCGGTTCCAGTGATTGGTCGAAGTTGGTGTCCAAGTTAAGGTCCTTTTGGGGAAGTGATTCAGCTGGTTGGTTGTGAACTGAGAGGAACTGCAACTTGAAGCCACCTGACAGATAGTCAAAGGATGTCAAAGGGATTGCCCTGTTGACAACTATTTCTCCTGGAGCAGTATGGACCAGTGTAAACAAAACATTCAATACAAGTTAACCAATTACATCATCCAATGACTAATAGTCTCAATAGTCTAATCAACATGAATCAACCGTTCTCCCCATTCCATGGCGGCCCATCTTCGTTTTTGGTTCTTCGTGTCTTCAATTCGCCAGATCGGTGTTATGGGCCAGGAGGTCCTGAAGGTGCCTCGAGTGCTTTGCAAAAGTTAGCTCACTACAGCTCCGATGAAAGCGAGGACGCCACCGCGAGTCAAGCGGAAGACGACTCCGTCCAGCTGACATGGCCCATGGCATGCCGCCATGTCAGCTGGATTGGAACATGAGATCGCACGGCGATCTGAAAGTACTGCATCATTTGACTTGAAGTGGCTAGGTCCTTAGGTGGAAGAGTGGAGAGCAAGCAGTGGTACCGTGATTCATCTTAGCTGTGCCAGATTCATTTGGCAGGAGGATAGTGAGGAAAGCTGAGCCATTAGTGGTGGCGCTTGTACATATTGATGGTCCTTACATTCTGACCGCGCTTTGCATCCAGCCAACGCTTCTTAGCCTTTCTGCAAAAAAAGAGGGAGTCTCTTCTTCACCTCCCGTGCTTTCGTAGTTTCGGCAAGCTTCAGTTGAACATATATAGCTCTGCTGGCTGAACTGATATCGACATGAGGCAGAAGATTCGGCACATGGTGAATTTGAAGGAGGCCAGGCTGAACCGTTTGACCTTTTGATATTTTGAAAAGAGAGTTGTTGGGCTTCATCTTGGTTCATGATTTCACTTGATGCAGGAGAATAAGGAGCTTCGGGAGCAGTTAAAGAAGGTGCCCGAGCGATCGGTCGTCAACGGGCATGCGTGGCATGCGATGTTTGATCCACATCATCTACTAGGAGCGAGGGCACGTTTTATACTAGTGGGACAGCCGAGGAGACTCTATTTCCTCCAGAAAAGAACCGATGCAAAAGGCTTTCAGGTAAGATGTTAATGTATGTTCATGTTATATCTGTATATCTATCTATATATATTTCCTGAGAATAGGACCTGGAAAGACTGTTTCCCCTACCAACCAGTGGTTTTCAGGGTCCATGCTAGTTTTCCACGGGTTATATATTCAGGCCAACAAGATCACAAGATGGTGCCATCTGGGTCAAGACTGGATACCCATCAGCACCCACTCGGGGCTTTTTCGACACCTCCCACTGCCCACTCAGGTCTCTCCTGGCCCCTAAATGGTCAAACAGAATCAAACGACATGAAACAACGGAGATCAGGGAGAGAAGGCTGAGTGCGCCAGCCAGCTTCAGTTCAACCAGCCTGGGCTCCAGCCGTGTGATCCGAAGCGAACTGGATTTGTGAATCTTCCGTCCCAAACTGCCAGAGGTACGGTCTACAATGTTCTACAGAATCCATTGGCTGTTTGGCATGAGAGCCCTACCCAGTCAGCGGCGAATCTGCTTTGTGGATTGGTTTTGCACCCCTCAAAACGAACAAATAAAGAAGGTTCGGTGAACCGTTCTTTCCTCCCTCCCACATCGGGAGATGCTCACTCTCATGATCGGTGACGGACCCGAAAACCCACCGTCGCCAGGCCAAGAACCGAATCACTCAGCTCGGAGCCTGTCACCTCAGCTCGGGCTCGCCATCCGACCTCGCTGCGTCCCACCATGGGGTGGCTGATACCACGAGATGACTAGTTGGACTGAGGAAAAGCACATGGTTTCTTCATGTTTCTTCTATACAGGGGACAGGTTAATGATATGTTGATGAGTTCCCTCAGACAGGGCTCTTCTTACATCAGCCCAATGCTCTTAGGTCTCTCGGAAGGGCGAAGGCTTGCTCGAAGCCCTGGCCTGCTTCTCCCATGGTCGTGGCCTAGGCAGGGAAACCAAAGATTTGCTCTGGTGCGTGGGTTAGTTATGGTGGGTTCACGTCTCAAAGTTCATCAACGGAACTGTCACGGACATCCCATCACTTCCAAGTCACCCTCGCGTTGATGCAGGGATCCCTGTCCATGTTCACTTACCATGGTGAACTCAGGTACTGACCAGCTGTCCATCGCGAGCGCGTGCCCTGACACACCGGCACCATGCTCTGTCCGAGGACGTCCAGTGGGGCAGGTGAGACGCTTCATTGAGTGTGAAGATTCTGACGGGGTGCCTCCACGAACACCAAGGGTCATCAGAAAAGCAGGGAATGGACTCGAAGAAATTGAAAGGTCATGTGGTTCCAATTTGGGAGAAGGCCAAGTGAGGATGGAGTGATTCCAAAGAGGGACCTTCTTCATCCTTCTTCCCAGTCGAACATTGGTCAGATTCATGTCCACCTGGGAGTTCCCAGACCAAAGTGGTAGTGGGCTGGGCCTGTCCAGTAGATCCCGGTCCCACACGACGGGAAGATAGTAATGGATTGGGCCCTGGGGAAGACTGACTGACGCTGAAAAGCGATTCCGCCACTGCGGAACTTAGAGCAACTTCTTTTTCATTTGCTTACACACCGCAGTTAAGAATCATTTTGAGCTGTCCCGTAAACAACAAAACGCATCAAAACGTCCTAAAGAAAACAGGTTCCCTGCTTGGAGCCAGGGTTACGGAAACTTAAAATATTCCCTGGTGATTTGCAGTGAGGGTCTCTGTCCCTTTGGAGGAATGGGGCGCCAACTTGGGATATCGGAATGCAAATGAAGCTGACTGGCTGGGGCGGAGCGCACGGGCATCAAACCGCTCATGACTTGATATCAGGGAAGGGACGTGTGTTTTCATATGTGACTTGTGACACACCCGAAGCCTCTTGGTCCCTCGGCATAAACAGTTGGCTGGTGGCTGGTGATTGGCTGGAGCCCTTGCACGGTCTACTACTAAAGCCCTGGAGTAGAATATTTGACTGATATGTTCTGTTGTTCAGGAGAGGCACGAACACCAAAGCGGCCCACCACGCCCACACGAAAGCCATCGCTGGGAGCCTTAATGAGGAACCTCGATGCTTGATGGAACAAACTCCTGTTTGACTTGAAACATAATTCCCAATACACCCGATTGCTGGACGGCCACTTGTTGGTTTGTCCTTACTTCAGCCCGAATCGGGCCCGAATCGGGTTCACAGCTTCGTCGGGTTCTGGGGCTCCTTGTCACTCGGAGAATGCATTTGTCAGGACCAGAGATCTCAGGAACACTCTCCCTGCACAGAACAGGACTTCAAGTCTTTTTCAATGAAGGCTTCAAGCAATCAGCTTGGTTGAAAGTGAATGCAGTGGGAGTGCTTCGACCCCACACTGTTTGACACATGAAATGGCATCCCAAACCGCCAAGGGCCTCGCGAGGCGGAGGCACACGCAGCAGCCAGCAGGAGGAGCCGTGGGCACGTGACATCTTTCTTGGAAACGCAAGAGGTGCATTGAAGGATGTCCACCAAATAATATATTGAATAGTAATGAATAATAGTAGCATTATTAGAAACAAAAATAATGCTACCACATACTACGCACCCGACCATCAAAAAGTTCCTCAGATTGACCCATCAAAGGGATAGATTCTTTTTCCGATTCTGGTATTTGTGTGTTAGGGTATCCGCAAGTGTTGGGATGAGGCAAAGATTGGGGGCTCTGTTCAAGTCAACAGTAGAACAGTAGGAGGTGACTTTATGCATCGGTCCGACTACTTGATGTACGCACAGATCATTACCTTTGGGGAGTGGGCTGGACGAGACATACGTGACCCCACCACCAGATGCGAAAGAACCGGAAGCATCCTGCCAGTGAACACTCACAGATTTTAGGGTCAGTCCAATTCTAAGACGGTCAGACTATATGATGGCAATTCTTCTCCAGAAACACTAAGACTTCCAGAAGGTCTCTTCATGTCCAAGATGTGAAACTAGACCCCACAGACCAGGAAGGACATATTGTTATTCAAACCTGGACAAATCCAGACCCACGCCCCCACCCCGCATTGGGTGGCGCGTCCAACGCGATGCAGGAAGAGTACCAGGCATGGCTGGCCGAGGAAGAGCGACGTCGGCAGATGCAGGCGCTCGTCGACGCGAGCGTGCGAGCGTGGACCAATGGACCGAGCCGGGACGTGGACCTGACCCAGTTCTCTGGGCCAAGAGGCTAGTAGGTTGGAGGCCATCGGCCATCGTAGTAACCAGATTGCTTCATGTGTGGGCTTGCAAAAAGAACTTCGTTGCTTCGGCCAGGCGCTTGCCTGTTGGGATTTGGGAGATTTTGTAAGTGCATGGACTCATGATGTCTCATGGTCACTGTGGTCCAATGTGGAAGCTTCAGCCATGTTTCAGGGGGGACAAACACCATCGACTTCTGATCCTTAGTCCTAGGCAGCGCTCCCTACTATTCAGTACAAACACATCACCAACCTCAGGGGCGGTTAAACTCTATCACCAATCGGTTAAAGTTGAACCTGGCATAATTCAGCCACCAAGGCCCGGCTTAACCCCTTTACAGATTATGAACATCATTACTATAGAGCTTTACATCTTGTAGGAATCCACCAAGAAGGCAGGGCTCATGGCCTCTCCTGAACCTCCCACCACGGAAACCACCGAAACCGCATCGACCAACCGACCGGTTGAGCGGCGAGATGGACAGGATCGTGCCGTGGAGCGCGTGCAGACCGACTTCCAACACTTCATAGCGCTGATCGAGAGGGTGCGGGGACCGACCCGGGACTGTCCGGGACCGACCCGGGAGGGTCCGGGAGTCTGAGAGAGGTGGAGAACAGGTGTCAGTGAACCCCAAAAATCCGGGCCTTCTGTTCGGTCAAAATGGTGGACCTGAAGAGGTTGTAGTGTAAAAATCCTGGTCTCAAACTCAAACGCTTGTTCGGTCAAAGGCCATGAACTCCACTGGGAAACGGCGCCCAAATCGCAGGCGGTCCTCTCGGGCGAGGCAGAGTCCCCGAACCCCGCAGCAGCTTGGTTTTGGGACTGGGCAAAGTAGTCCTTGGAAGACATGGAGAAGATAACCTACTTGCGATGGCCTGCATCCTAATAGACATGGAGAAGACATGGTGAGAATCGATGTTGAGAAGTTGACGATGATGCAACAAGACGGGTCTTTCCAATCTTGGCTGATGGCGGGCATTCAGACTGCAAAGAGGTGATGACTGCAAGGACGGCATGAGTCATCATCATGTGCACTTCGCAGATTCATTTCGTGGTGCCAGTAACCCACAGAATCTCACATGTAGTAACCACATCTTGATTGGAACTTCACTGATTCACATCGGTGACTGATGGCACCGATTTTTTTACATCTTAACACGTCATTTCGCAGCACCGTTTCCGAGGCCCTGCTGGAGCGCCTCCGCTCGGTCGTCTGCCCCGGGGACGTGGCAGCGGACGGGTCCGCGGCGGGGCCCTGAGGCAGGCGCCGGAAGGCGCGGCATCTGACGGGTGAACCAAGAGGGATGCCTGGGTCGGTTTCTTTGACCCGGCCTCGGACCTACGTCGTAGGTATGCAGAGGCAAGCTAGGACCTAGGACTAAACCTCCGAAAGTGGAAGTTGGAGGCTTAGCTTTCAGGCGGATCGCAGAATATCAAGAAATCCATGACATCATATTTTTGGCTATTCGTTTGAGACTGGGACAAAACCAGGGCCTTGGTGATTATAATTGGACACATAAATTTATACAGTATGTACTCTGGACCAATTGCTTTTACCAGGTTCTTGGTCTTTGATCCCTTTGCAGACTGACCTGAAAAAGAAGACGAGACCTTCGGCTCCCTTCGATCCACCACCCCCCAAACCTTCCGACCTCTTGTCTCTGACAGGCGCCTTCATGCGCCAAAGTCTCTGAGAGCTTACAAGAAGCACCAAATTCATTTGCCAATTTGCGCGCAAACCACCTTTCTGTGCGCAGCGCAAGGTTCTGCGCCACCCACCGCATGGGTGGAGCGAACCTTTCTGTGATCGGGAGAAAAGACAAGACAAAGCGATCCGCCCCGATGTCCTGAGGCGGGGACCAAGATGGATATGAAGCAGGGGATAGGAAGACATCCTGGAGAGAAAAGTCCAAGAGGAGTCATCCAAGTGGAACTGCCAGCACCTTTTTCCCCGATTTTTTTTTTCCATAGAAGACATGTCACCTTTTTTCTCGCAGCCAGATCAGCTCAAAGATCCAGCTGAGTGTTTCGACCAGGGTGGCCCTCAGTGAGCTAGATGACGGTAGAGGAACACCCCACGTGAGTCGAACATGGAACACCCGGTTCGTCATCGTTTGTCTACTTGGTTCCGTACGGCGAACCTGGCGACCCTCCAGACTCTTGGAGAAACGAAACCAAGCGGAATCCTCGGAGAGCAGGACTGAGGTTGCAGGATGTTTTGAAACTTTTGTCAAACAGGTTGCAGGGGTCAAACAGGTTGCAGGATCTCTGGTTGAAGGCAGAAATAGATGGCAGAACTCATCAGACACCCCATTTGGTTCCGATCTCCAAAGGTGAGATCTTCCTGGCCACCCCGGTCACCCGGCCTGGGCCGAACTCGTCATGTTGGAGATCTTGAAAGATGCCGTCCTGCGCCTGGACAGCCAAGCGCCCTTTCCCACGCTCTCCCTTTGGCTTTGTGTCCTGGTGGATTGTGGAGGTCGCACGACGTCGTGCGGTGGGGCGTGGGTTTCGCTGCCTTCGTGGCCCCGGTAGCAACATGAACGACGCGCCAACGCGCGATCACGACGCGCTTTTGGAAGATTGGAGTCAACCCATCGCACCACTTGAAATCAACTTTCCAGTTCCTGTCTTGTTCGTTCATACATTGCAGTTCCCAATCCCCTCCCCAAATCATCAAATCTCGGTGTCGAACCTGAAAAAGGGTTCGGATTGACAGCCTTTTGCCACCGAGTTCTTCCTTTGTATATTTGTCAGTCTAGTCAGTCTGTAGCACAGGTGTGTTTAGTTTTCAGGAGGGAACGTCTTTTTGTTTCACTAGACTACCTCCTTGTGTCAGGTTTGGCTTGGCCTCTTCCCGCGCTCCTCTTCTGGCTGGCGGAGTACTGCACCCGCCGACGCAGGGTCACGACAGCGAGTGGCAGCTCTGAAGGTGATGAGGAAGAAGTGTTTGTGCCAATGGAGGTAGAGCGGGAGTCCAGTCGGATACATCCAGGACAGTGACTTGGGGGCAGTTGAGGAAAATCTCACGCCGCCTGATGGGGTGGAGGACTTCGGGGGTGGAGGTGAAGAGCAACCGGGTTCAATTTATTGGGTTTAATGATCTCATTTGATCCTCCAGATATCTCTACGTATAGATCTAATTTGCATTAATTTGCTATAGTCGCTGATTGCACCACCGCGCAGCAGGGTGGCCATGCGATGTTCGTGGCTTAATGGATCAACTCCCATCAGCAAAGCTAAGAGAAACAGCTATTAGGAGCTCCTGGCATCGCTACTAGTAGCTCCTGGCATCGCTACTAGGAAAAAGACGCTTATAGAGAAAAAGCTATGGGAGGGCCACATATCTGGGATCAACCATACGGTTGGATCAATGGTCAGACCACTGGGAAACGTGTTACGCAACGTGTTACTGTAGTGCCCTGGGCTGGTGGAATCCGGAGTCAGGGGACCACACACACACACACACACCATACAGCCACCAGGGACACCATGCAGCGAGACGCCAGGTTCAAGGTGATCCTTGCCTCCCTGGAGCATTCCTTGCCTCACTTGGGCTGCAAAGCACAGGCTGGTGGCCTTGGGAAGGTCATGGATTTGGTGGCAAGGCACCATCCCACAGATCTTTTGATGGTGCACCCCAAGCTGAAGGAGGACGAGACCTTGAAGTATTCCCATGACCTGGAGCTGCCCTCCCTGAGCATCACTGTGGACAACCAACAGCAAGATGTGAGGGTCTTGTATTGCAAGCCCCCTGCAGATGACAGTCCCACTCGCTCCCGGCGAGGTTTCCTCCTGTTGTCACACTCGTGGTTTGAGGAGAGGCCCAAAACAGCGATCTATCCGAATCCAATGACCCGGAGAAAGGTGCTCCGGTTCTACTCTCTGTGGAACCAAGCTGTGGGCAAACTGCTGGAGCTTTACAAGCCAGATACTCATAAAGTCCAACCACAACCTTTCATTCTGTGGTTCGTTAGTTTTGCTGTAGTCCATTTTGAAGCAGTCCAAAGAGATTAAATTCGTGTTTCTAGTCCTGTTCGCTGAGGATATCTTCCATTGCCCAGACTTCCACACATGCATGGCGCCCTGGTATGCCATAGCAAGTGACCAGCTGAATCTGCGGGTGCTTCTGGTCCTGCACAATGCCGAATATCAGGGTTCCGTTTCCACTGACATGTTGCTCGTCTGGCTCAGCACCTGAGCGCCCTTTTCGATAAAAAAACACTTGGTTGAAACAAGTGTCTAAGTCTACGGGTCTCTCTCTCTCTCTCTGTGTTGCTTGCTTTTTTTGTTTTGTGTGTGTGTGTGTTCTTTTAAATCAGTGTTTCTTAGATGTTCTTGTTTTTTTTTTAATGACAAACACAACATGACAAAAAACAATTTTAACAATTGAACTTGAACCACATCACATTTTCAATTGAGCATATTGAACATTTGCCTGCCCCCCCTGTGGTCACCAGGGACTTCTTCCTGGTGGCTCGCCGTCGCCAGCCGGGCCGGGTGGGCGACTCGAGTCGCACGGACACGGTGGACGGGACTCACTCCGAGGCTCGGGAGGGCTCACTGCGAGAAGGTCGCGGTGATTTTCAACGTTTCACCCGACTTTGTGCGGCAACACTTGATGGCTGAGGGCCGGTTTAACATGCTCAAGGCTGGAGTGGATTTCTTGCTGGAGCGGCAGGAGGGCCGTGGAGCTTGTGCTGTCTCAGAATACTACGCGTTTGAATGTCATGCAAGGTACCTCAGTTGCAGCCAGCCTTTTTGGACAGTATATATAGTATATGTAGTAAGTACGGGGGGAAAGGTTTTGTAAGAGCTTTCCTTGGAGGGTCATGCTTTCCTTGCAAGGTACAGTATCTTTTGGCAACTTCCAGGGATTCGAGGCATCGACAATCCCATGTTGGAGGAGGAACGGGAGGTCTTGGACAAGGACCTCACCGAGAAGAAGCAGGAGGCCAAGCGAGAGGCACAGAGCCGTTTCGGTCTCAATGTGGAGCCGGATGCACGGCTCTTTGTGTCGTTGGGACGGTTGGTGAGGCAGAAAGGGGTTGATATTTTGGCGGATGTGGCTGAATGGCTCCTTTCAAGCTATCCAGAAGCTCAACTCTTGGTGATTGGCCCACCAGCGGATGGATTTGGCTTTTACGCGCAGAGAAAGTTGGAGGCCCTGGCGGAGAAGGCGGCTTTCAAAGGTCGCTTGAGCGTCCATTCCAAGTTCATTGTGGTACCTCGGCATTCCGAGTTTCGGACGGAGTGCAACAGCCCCATGTTCAAAAGGGTGCTCTTCTGAAACATACGGTGGTATCGTGGCTGTGTGTGTGGCATCGTGGCTGTGAGGGAAGAGCAACCAGGAATTCCATCAGTCTGCCGAAGAGGCCGTGGATGGCTCCTTTTTTCATGGCTCCACTAAGTGAGGAACTGTCAGAAGGTCGGAAACCATCAATCTTATCTTACCCAAACGCTCCAAACAGCCCTTGGTCCCTCAAAACCTAGGGATTTGAGACCCCAGACCCCTCCAGAAGATTCGGGTCCGACCCCTCCAGAGGATTCGGGCCCAGGGTCGCGTCTGGGTAAGTGTCCTCCAAGCTCGGACTGCGCCCTCAGGGCCCTCAGGGAGCTTCCAAGCCTGAACTCTGCATCCAAGCTAGTAGCTCCCTAAGGTAATACTTAACCCTTACCTGGTAGCTACTTAAGCTTGCTATGGCCTGCTCCCCTACTCCCCCACCAAAGAGAAAAAGGAACAGGACATCTGGATGTTCCTCACAGCGCATGTCTTCCTCCATTCGCCTCCCCTCGCCCTCCATCGATGTCCAGGTACCTCCATGTGTGAAATGGGCTGCAGACTTTTGTCTCATGCCCTCGCGCGATGAGCCCTTCGGATACGTGGACGTGGAGTTTGCGTGGCGCGGGGCCGTCATTGTCGGAGCACAAGCAGGAGGGACCGAGCCGCGAGAGGGACCAAGCCATCGGATGGTCGGTGAATTGGTGGGTTTGACTTGCTGGAAACCATTCGAAGGTGGTTTCCATGGTTAGTTTCAAGCTTTACTTGGGATCATTGAGCCCACTGACGAATATTGTTCAAGTAAGAAACCACCAACCAGCTTGCTTTCTTCTTTTGCAGCTGACCAAACCCAGCGGTCAAACCAGAGATTCTGAAAGATTGCAACTGTATAACATACAGAACCCCAAAAGTTCCTAGATCCCCACTCAAAATGTATTGGAAACCGTGCCACTATCTATTTGGGGACCTCTTGTCTCGTCTTTGGAGGCATGGGTCACCTGTGAGAACTGGACGTTTTAACAACCACGCGGGGATACGGTTGTTACAGATTCGTTTTTCGTTTGGCCTATCCAGTGTATATAGACGATTCAAAAATCCGCGCCGGTGCACACTTAAGCTTACTACAAAACTCGAATAGCATACAAACCAATCACCTAAAACACGCCGGTGCCCCAGGGCCGGTGGATTTCGTTGAACTCGGCAGCCGGGGCAGGAGGCTTGGGCAAAGTGCCAGGCTTCTATTATGTGCAGCAGAACCGCAACTCGTCAAGACATATCAATTGGTCTCTACCTCCTGTTTGGCCTTTAAACACGACGTTTGTCATTTGAGTCTCTTTCCAGTTGGTGCTCGGAACAAGACACCTCTCCACCACCAAGCGCAATTCCGAAGCAAACAAGTCAGACCATGTGGCTTCTCTATCCCACCGGGCCCCCACGAACGCTGCAGACCTACGTGACAATGTCAAGTCCTTTAAAGGGACGCCTCTCCGTCGCACGATAGTCCTTACATGTCCCTACTTGTTACAATATGTTTTTTTCAAGATCAATATATTTGCAATGGTCCACAAAGAGTAACAGAGCTTATGACTATCACTATCACTATCCAATGTCCACTTCCAGCTCTTTTGGTGCCCCCTACTACACCTCTCCCTTCCCACGTTTCTACGACCGATCTCCTCTACCCCAGGTGAGAACTTGGCTCGCCTGCGGCGCGAGCTGCGCACGGCCGTGCAGCGCGCCATGGCCGCGACACCGTCGAAGGTGCGGGAGATGTCGCGCCTGGCGCTGCGGAGTAGCTTTCCACTGGCCGAGTGGCAGGATGCCTTGTCCAGCGCCTACCGAGGCACTCGGCGGACGGCCTGCGCGGACGAAAGGAGGAGGGGCTTCAGGAGGGGTTCCGGAGATGAATTTTTGGGGTGAGCTTGAGGATTTAGAGGAATGTGTGGGGTAGAGGGCATGAGTAGCGTTGCGTTATCAACGATGGGGGTGGTGAGGGAGAGATGAGAGAGATTTTTCTTGGCCACAATGATTCAGTTGAAGGAGCATGGATTTGGAGAACATTCAAATGCTTTACAGAACAAACAGGTTGGGTGAACTGAGAGATCAGGGGAGATTTGTTCACGAAGTCAGGGCAGCTTTCAGAGGGGTCGAAGTCACTCTTGGTGTGACAATCTACCTACAGTCTCTAATCCTACGTCGATTTCACCCAACCCTTTTTTTTGTACGCCACGCGATGGCCATGCATTTGTTGGTTCGTTCCTCGATGATTCCGGATGGTTCTCGTCATGAGCGACACCTCCCTGGCTTGGAGTTCAGGCCTGCGCCGGGACCTCAGTGTGGATGGCATTGAGCTGGGCGACGTCTCATCCCCAGGGCTGCGCCGCGGGGCCAGTGGCTCGCCCGAGGGGGAACGACGCGAATGGTTCCCAGAGGAAGTCTGCAAAGATCTCTTGGCCGCTTGGCAGCTAGCCTTGGAGACGTTAACATAATTAGAAATTAGAAACTGACAGACTGCCATAGACTCCACGCAGTAGACGAAAGTATCTTCCAAACCATCTGGCAGTTTCCACGTGTCCACGGTTTTAGCAAAAGACATATATATATATATATATGAACCGATGACCTCACGCAGGGATGGTAGGGACAGTGAGAGCGAATATGGAGTCAGGGGGGCAGAAGAGACCTGATCATTGACCATTCCAGGTGCAAAGTCAGCCGGCAGAACACGAGCACGTGCACGAGGACGTGACGGATGAGGACTCTCGGCTGTTTGGTGGTACAAGTTGAACCGAACATGAACATGAGTTCCCCGAAAGGGCATCCCAATCTCTTTGAGATGATCAAACAGATCTTCCATGCCGTTGAAACTGAGGAATTCTTTTGGCAAGAGCTGACGGAAGAGGAAATCTCTGACAGGGTCACCCAACAGCTGGATGAGTCTCGAAATGACTCGACGCCTCTGAACATTGAAATCATCCTGCAGAGGATTGGTATCGAGCGATCGAAGGAGCGTGAAACGGGGACGATCGCCAAGTGGCTGGTCGAACCCTGGCGTGGCACCGCGCGGATCCATTGGCTGGTGTCGTGTGCTTATATCTCGTGCCCCGTGTCATCTCTATTGGTCTTGGTCGTGGCCATGGAATGGGGCATCCGGGGATCTGCGCAACTTCCGGAATGGTTCAAGCGATTCTCCTGGTTTAAGATCGTCTTTGGCAACGGAGGATTGAATCCACCAATTCTGAACATGTTGCTCTTCTCCACCACCGCCCTGGCCAATGCCATTGGAGCTCCCTTTTGGGCGGCTCTGGCCACCAAAGTGCAACCAAGACTGCTACTCGCGGTGGCCATGCTGCTCCAAGTGCCGCTTCTGATCACCATGCTGACAGTACATCGGCCGAATGTCTCCTTAGCCACCATCGTCGTGTTTCTACAGGGCTTGTCGAGCTCAGGCTCGGTCTCAAGAGAAAGAGGGAACGGGACAATTCATGGCGTCTTTGCTTTCGGTTTGTTCCCAAAGTTGGTTTTTCGTTTGTGGCAACACCCATCCAGTTATAAATCCTTGAAATCTGTTTTTTCTTCACATCAGGCTCTAAGGCGTCCACGTGCAGAGAGAAAAGCACGCACACTCACACACCCATGCTGAGACCCCGTGACCCAAAAAGCATGGCCTTCGCGAAGCCAAGACGATCTCCGGTGATCTCCTGTGATCTCCCGGGTGACTCCTGTGATCTGTGATCTCCAGGTTCCTTGATTTTCATTTGCTTCAACTTTATGCTATCCATCAAGGCAGACGTGAGTCATGCTGCCTACCGCATGGGCATCTTAGAGATGGCCTCTCGGACGGATCCGGCCACACGATCGTCCGCGGTTTGGGTCCACATGTTTGGTTCCGGATCTGCGTCGAACATCCCTAAAAAACCTCAGGTGCCTGGTGGAAAACGTGATCCACACCCGGCATGCACCAGCATGCAAAAAGCATGCAAAAAGCATGCGTCAGCTGTTGTAAAAGATTTCGGAGACCCAGCATCCCCAGGAGTGTTGTTCCATGTCCTTCCGCACGGATCAGACGGTCTTTTTGCTTTCCAGGTCCGTCTCGTCCGAAGATTCACCTGGAGCCTGAGGCTCCGGGGATCTTCCCACGGGCTTCAGGTTCTCATACTGGGTGTGTTGAAATTGGGGAGAGCCCCTGTACATTTAACATTTAACTATATTTAACTTGTTTCACACATTTTCACACTCATCTATACAAGAAAATCCGAATATGTTCCATTGGTCCATTGGTTCAGGTTCTCTTTTCCATCCACTTGATCCGACGACTGGAACACCATATGACATACAAAAACATGCTCTCTCAGGTCCGACAGGCGGTGACCTGGTTCATCACGGCCTATGTTTTCTTAGTGTCACCCTCGACTCAGGCGGTGCAACGTCGGGCGCTCTCGAACGCGTTTTCTGCTTCGGCGCGCGATCGCAAGCGTCAGCGGTTGTGGGTGGGGTGTTTTTTTTGGTATGTTGGGCTGTGTTGGGCTAACATGTTCTCTTGGCTAGCAGCTGGCCGGCACCTCAAGAAACACACATCAGTGCCTCATGTGCAGGAAAACCGGGCGCAGCATAAAGTCTCGCAGGTTGGATCCAAAGAAGAGCCTCTTCCAGCAGCAGTGTATTGGCTCTTGGTCCCGATCTGCGTGGCGGTGGTTCTGACGACCATCATCCCAGGCAACTCTGTCAGGTTTCAAAGGCTTTGGGTGGGCAATTGAAAAGAGTCCGGGGCAGTGAATTGGCGGAATTACCCGGGCGGAGTGCCCTTGGACGCTGTGCGATACACATGGTTGGATGTTGTGTGTATACAGTTTGGGAAGAACTTTAATGAAGTTTATAGCTGTAATTAGATTTCTTGAGGAATTGGACAAGGTTGTTGCATGCTTGTTAAGTCAGGTGTTTCAGGACGAGGTTGAGCAAGACTAGTCACAAGACTAGGATCAACAGGTGATACACAGCTGATTCAAGGTCAGGATTGTAGTATAATTACCCTATGAATCAGTGAGCGATCCCCACGTCTTTGAGTGTGATGGCCACATGATGCCGTTTTCTTTGGCCGATGGCCCCAAGGCTTCCTCTTCTTGCTGGCACCTGGTCCCTATCGCGATGACTGCCTCCCTTCCTGGGATCTGAAGAACTTCTGGAAGAAGCGAAGCTTCGCCACTTGGCTTTTGGAGACATGCTTCCCCACACAGCTTGGAGGAGGATTTGAGTAGACTCTGAGATTCTGACCATTCAGCTGACCATTTCATGACCGTGCATCCACAAGAACCATCCATGCGGGTCATCCACCACCCCGCGAGTCCCCCCCCCTCCCATTTGGCCCTGGAAAATCCCCGAGCTGCTCGTCTAGTTGAAGGTTCTTGATTTGAGACCATCTTTCCATGTTGCAAAACTGCCAAAACGTTGGACAGACCCTGGGGGATCTCCTGTTTCTCTTCGTGCTCAGCTCGAAAACGCCACAGCTGATGCCGTGGCGTTTTGCAAACAGGTGGTCTTGTCCATCTCCGATGTGTTGGGCTGCCTGGCGCTCTTTCCGAGCACCTGCTACATCCAGTGGTGGCTGGCCAATGGCTGGCGGGGAGTCGACCTGGCCATCTTGAGCATCTTCTTCGCGCTCTCCTTGGCAGGGGTCACGTGGTTGGGGGAAGAACGAGAAAGGAGGGCAGGAGTGTGAAAGGGAGAGTCAGACGAAAGAGGTGTTGGAAGTGGTGAAGTTGAAACAAGTGAAAAGAGTATAGAAAACGTGCAGTTCAGACAGTTCTTTTTGGATGTTCATCTATGATGTCCTTCATTTGAGGCAGACCCACCAATTTTGGATTCTGGGTGAGGCTGCACGCCGTTTTGCAGCCAGTTCGGAGGAGGATGTGGTTTGAAGTACTGTACTGCTTCATTGGGTGGAAGATCATTTGGGCCGGCAGAATTTCATTGCAGAACTAGGTCCCAACGTGATCTTCGACTGGAAGTCTTCACCCCAGTCAGCCATAAATCAACGGCCGGTCCGACACGTTTCGGTGTTTGTTGAGCGAGCTGCCTAAGCAGCTTTCTAGGGAAGTATCCGCCAGACATGCACATTGTAGCCTCTTATGACCATTCAAAGTAGGTGACAAGACTTTGGAAATTTTCTGGATTGAACTTGCTTGAAGATGGCCAGAAGTTTCTCAACGCTTCCCAAGTCTCGGTTTAAAGATGACACCTTGGTTCAGTGATCCAGAGAACTATATATATATGTTATATATGTACATAGGTCTTGGTCAGTCTTCACGGAAGAATGTGTACCTTCTCCTAGTCTAGTTCACCACACCCGGCTGAGCCCAATGATTTCAAGACCATCGCTTTTTCCCCCTCGTGGAGGGGCTCACCAGGTGACGATCATATGGGCCAAGGCCTTAGGGAGCGCCATCATTCATGGCTTTGCTCTCTTGATGGGCGTGACGTTGTTGCTCCCACCGGCGAGCATGTTGCGGGCCATCGTTCAGGAAGAGATCTCCACATACACCTTCCTAGGGAGATCTGATGTGGCATTGCTCATTTGCTGCTTCTCCTTGATCCTGGAAGGTGCCAAAGGGCCAAAATCACGAAAGAGATCAACAGGGTGAGGCTCAAGCAAGCTGCTGTGGTTTTCGGGGAAGTCCATGGCAATAATTTGTCATGCAACTTTTGTACAACATCTGTTGTGGATCGGATCACCTTTCCAGGAAGTTTACAATAATCCTGAAGCTGGTCTTGACATGTCTTGACCTACCATCATGATTGTTTTTGGTCAATCTTTCTTGGTTTGTCTGCACCTCTTGTGGGGCCGACCAATGCGAGTTCTTCTCATTTGAGACTGAGAGGAGTTCGCGCTTCTTCTGCATGGGCCGTGAAGGTCCGGGTGCTGAATTCTCGATGGAGGCTGCTCAGCTATGGTACTGTGGTGGTGTCGATTCAAGCGGTGATGAGTATGTTTTCCCCCTTCCTATGTGAGTACATGGCCCGGCGCAACAGCAGTACCTTCATCTCTGCCAATCAGAAAGAGCTGGCAGACGCCGCAGTGGTCACCATGGTGCCCCTGTCCTTGCTGCAGTTCGCACTCCAAATCTGCGCGGCGCCCTACATACGTCAGGACCTAGGTGTGGCCTCCTCCAGGTCGTTGTACCGCGGAAGAAGTGGTGCTGAGGGGCACATGTGCCCTTCCTTGAAGCTGAAACATCAGATCAGGTGGAGGAGACTACCACCACAGATGGCCGTCTTGTGTGGATGCTTATTAGGTCTAGCTGCCTTGCTCACTGAACTTCATCTCATCCAACGCCCAAGTCCATTCGCACCAGTCAGGCAGAGGGGGGGTTGTCCGCCCCGTGCCCTGCCGAAACGGACCTCCATTGAGTTCGCGGGACGTTCTCGTTTTCAGGAGCTGAAGCGATAGATCCAACCAACAGGACAGGTTTGTTGAAGCTCTTCTTCAGGGCCAATCTCCGGGACAATTGCACATGCATACTGCATACTCTTATTTAGTACTATCATTTTTCCGACCTTTTGTGTACCCGTTCCCACTGTCAGTGGGTCAAGGGCCAGAGGTTGCTGTGACAACTGCGCGTCACATTTGCTTTGCTCACAAATTGTTCTTCTCCGGAGCAGGTCAAGTCGGACCGGACCTAGCCGAGTAGGTCCGAAAGGTCGAATTGCCAAACCGATGGTTCTTAGACCCTCCTTGGTCTACTGTACCACCTTTCTTTCTGGTACATCTCAGAATGGAGCCCTGGTCACATCAACGCGCGTGGCCGCACAGGCGCTGTCATTTCGGCCTACATCGCTTGGCTTGCCGCTGCGTAGCGGATGAGACCGATACGCGGCCAGCGGATGAGTTTGCCTCGTGGCGCAAGGGCAGCTATGGACCAAATCAATTTGGATACAGTACAACTGGAAGATACAACTGTCAGGTGCATCGAAAAGGGGCCTAAAATGGACCTGACCGACTGGCCAAAACTGAAAGGAGCTTCTACTCGGCCGAACAGCCTTTCGCCCAAAACGGCCATCACATACGGAGAAGAAACACGTGTTCAAACACAAAGTGAGTCCAAGAGAGTCTCCAGGCATTGGAAAACAACATCTCAAACACCTGCGAGTCGACTTGGTAAACGTCCGGCCGCCCTGTTGGCGGAACTCGGCCCCCGCCAGGTGAGAATGCGAATCTTGGGTGGAGATACCTTCAGTTTTTGGCCTAGGGGGCGATGCCAAGTGTGGCGATGTCAAGAAGGGATGACCGACGGCCAGCAGGTGACGGGCCAGGAGATTTGGTCGCGCCACTGCCACTGGGTCGGCCTGATTTAGCCTGTTGGGACGGATGGGCTCAACACATGTGCGCTTGAATGGAGATTTTGGGAGGGGACCGACACATTTACAGGGGTCTCATAGTGGTCTCATAGAAAAGGTTTTGTGCCTCATCAAACCACCTTTACTCACCAAAGGAAAAGAATCGATAAGATTCTGAAAACCAGTGAATCGATTGCAGCAAAGCCTGAGGGGAACCCCCCTCTTCTTTTGCCGCGATTTCGCGCCGAAATCTACTCGTGCTTCGTCCACGACGACCACTTGTTCGCCCAAGGCAATGTCTCCGGGCAAAATCTGGTGATCGCCCACTTGTTCGAATGGCCATGGCCTGACATTGCCACTGAGTGCGAGACGTATTTGGGCAAAGCGGGCTTCAACGTGGTCCAGATCAGCCCACCCACAGAGCATGTCATTGGAGACTCCTGGTCCACGCGCTACCAGCCGGTCTCTTTCAAATTGGATTCGCGCGGTGGCAGCGAAGAGGACTTCGTGGACATGGTTTGGAGGCATGGTTGGGGAAGAAGAGAGGCTGGGGAAGACCTAGAAAAGACATGAAGCCACCATCACCCCGATCCGAGAGCCACAGCCGCCTGAAAGAGGGTGTTTCTTTGATTTTCTTTGGAGTTCTTCCTTCAGAAGTAGAGATTCGTTGTGGCTCAGCGATCGGAAGTGGAGGAGTCCTTTGAAAAGCCCCAATCCGTCCAAGGAGGTTTGGTCGATTCCCATTCTTCCAGGCTCGAGTTCTCCCTATGTTAAGACACACCCGTGTTGTGCCCAACAATGCATGGGGTCACCTCTTCAGGGAAACTTGCCGCGGCTGCTTGTTCCAGGTGTAAGCAAGCAGGCGTGTCGATCATGGTTGATGCCATTCTGAACCATATGGTCGGCTACTCAGAAGGATGCTTTGCTCGTTCACCGATTCAGTGCAAGTACTATGACTTTAGTGCTGATCCACTCGTGAGCCGGCTCAGCTGGATGGACCAAGCCTTAGGTGGATCTCGGCCCTGTCACTGGGGCTGCTGACTTGTGTTTTGGGGATTTGGTTGCCCGGTGCCCCTTTTGCTCCTGCCGGCTCCTTGGCCTCGGCTTTTCTGGTGGGTTGGCTTCCTGGCATCCTCTTCTCCTAGCTCCTGCCTTGGCTCGATCTTTCCTCCTGTTCCTGAACAGCACTGTTTGGGAATCCTCCTCTGGCCGCTCCCGGCCAGGCTGCCGTTTGGCTCTACCTCCACTTGTATGAGCGGGGCCTCCGACGACGAGAACACCGAGCTTTCCGTGCGTGTGGGCCCTCTTCGGCTTGTGGTCTCCGGACCTCTGTCCCTTGCTGTTGCCGCTGTTCAGGCGGTCACTTCCTGGCATCATCGCCTTGTTTCCAGGCCTCGTGATCCTTCTCCGGATCCTTCGGATTCCTTTTCTGTGGTGTCCTCCGTACAGCCACCAGCTACATCGGCTGCAAGGCCATCTACCAGCCCGGGTGAGACCCGGCGTGAGATCGAGAGTGCGTTTCCTGAGGTGCCTTCTGGCCTTCTCCTATCTGCTCGTCGGTTATCTGGTGGTGGACTTAGTGGGGAGGACAGGATTCGTCGAGCTTGGAAAGCCGGGTGTTGGGCTAGAGCAGTTCTCTCCGGAAGGGTGCCTACACCAAACGCCAGTGAGCAGCTCAACCTCCGGCCTCGGATCTACATTGTATCATTGTCCTTCGTTCAGGAAGGTTGTCTGCTCCGGCTGGATTCTCTTCATCGCATTCCTTCTTCCGAGCAGTTGGGAGGAACTTCACAGAGGGGGACACGCTCTCGCACTCTTTCCCTTCAGAGTCGGAGGCTCGTGTGTATTGCCAGGCGGCGAACGTCGCCTATCCGGAGATTCAACCGTGATGGCGGAGCTGGGCCATGGAACTATAGAGGTGGAGGAGGAAGAGGAATTCATGTCTTTCGAGCAGCTGGTCCCTTTGACGGCCGGCGTGGTACCATATGTTATTGCATGGCCCACCGATCTACATCCTGGCACTTCCTTCGAGACAATGTTCTTGGTGGTTATCAAGAGGGCAGGAGGTTTGATCGGCGCAATCCCTCTGGGCGTGATTTCAGACAAGGAAATCCAGCGGGGCATGTCAGAGGCTTCACCTCATGCTATGCTGGGTGCATCTACGACTATAATGGTGCCAGGAGTGCATCAAGACCCAAGTGGCAGTTGGGAGTTGTCTGGCATCGAAGTGGCTCTTCTGGTGGCGGACTTCACCTCCCAGGTATCAGATTTGCTGAGGCTCATGGTTCCCGAAGAGCCTGTTTTTGCTTTTGTGTCAGGACAGCCTGCTATCCTACCTCGCCCCGAAGAGCTTGTCAGTCAGGTGCTCGAATGGTTGGCTGCCCAGGGATTGGCCCGACCAGAAGGGCCCTACCAGATGGACGAGGAGGTGGAGTGACGGCCCAGAGCGGCCAGTCCCGCCAAAGGCAAAGGGTCGGAGCCCTCGTGCGGGGCGCGATGGGGCCACGTCCCCAGGAAAGGCATCAACTGCAAAGCCAAAGAGGGTGACTACAGCATCTCTGGCACAGAGCTTGGAGGAGGTGCTCTCTACACTCCCGGCATTGAGTTCGCAGGTCCAGCTTCGTCGATCGTCAAAGTACTCTGGAGAAGCGGCTGGTGGATGCTTCCTCCGTGCCAAAGCAAGTGGCTCAGCCCTTGTCAGCTACCGTGGCCCTCTCGAAGCATGGAGCCGTTGCGGATGCAGCAAAGCTTTTGAGAAGCCCCCCGCGGACAATTGGGACTCCATTGAAGCCACAGCTGACTCCGGCTATTCCTGTCGCACCCCCTCCTCATCGAGAGTTGGAGGAAGAGTTTGCAGAGGCCGAGTCTCCATCTGTTGCAAGAGCCATCTTTGCCCAGTCGGCGGCGCTCACTCAGCTGGTGTCTCACTTGACATCTGCTGCCTCAGACCCTATGGTCGACTTTTCTACTTCTGGGACAAGTTCATCTACAAACGGAGCTATGGGGAGAGCCAGGCTGCAGGCAGAGCTGGCCACTCATCGAGGGGTGTTTTTCGACTCCGTGATGAGATCTATGGCGAGGAGGATGTCTCCTACTACTGCTTCTTCCGAGCTGTCGGCAGACCAGCTGCTCACAATGGGGATCAGTGGAGTCAAGTATCTGGAGCGATTTGGAGGATATGGTCGTCATCGAGATCTAGGTCTCCTTCAGTTCCAGATGATGACTGTGTTCGACTTCTTGATGGCCAACAATTTGGGGGCAGCAAAGGATACCCTGGCTCTAACCGTTGTGATGTTGGAGCAGGCAGTGCTCGACAACGGGCGCTTCGAGGTTGCTTCTCTGTTGGGTTTGATGGAAGACCCCCCGGCATCAATCTACACGAACCGCTCCTCTCTGGCGACGTCTCGCGCCCGGGCTTTTGCTCCTCTTGCCGATCAGAGATGGGTGACTACAGCATTGGCTTACTTGAAGGAGTTGGATGCAATCTCCACCAAGAGAGTCGAGTTCGCTTTTGGCCATCCGGGCTCTTCGGGCTCTACTACAGCCAGCGGCGACCCGGCAGGCAAGGCGAAGCCCCGGCCAAAGAAGAAAGGTCGAGGGAAGGGCCTGTTTCAGAGTGTGGATGCAGAGGAGGAGAACTAGAGGAGGTTTGTCTTCATGACAGTTTTGGAGAATCTCCTGGCAGGCCAATACAGTTGCTTGACCTTGAGACGAGTTTTGTGGGGTGGACTCCTGCGCTACCCCGTTTTGTCCAGGCTTTGCGCATAGCTTTTTCCTGGCTTTCACGAGAGTCTTTTCCCGTTCGCTGGCAAGGTTCTTCCTTGCACACCACGGTGCTCCCACTGCCTGATGGCGGTGGCCCTGGGCTGAGCAAGAAGCGCCCTAAGTTTCTGGCACGGAGAAGTCCCCTGCACCTCAGTGTTGTGGTGCTGAATGGTTTTTATTTGGCTGGATTTGCGAGTCTTGCTGAGCTGAGGAGGCCTCTATCACCTTTGCAGCTGTCTCTCTTTGACCGGCTTTGTGGCTATACCGTGAGTGGACCTCGTCCTGAGAGTTACAAAGATCCTCCAGGACGACCCGGTTTTGAATTTATTGCACGCTTGGCAAGGCTTGAAAGTTTCTTGGCGGAGCACCTTGAGTTCAATGGCAGCTATGTTCATGGGTGGTCGTCAACCTATTTCAGGCTCTCTGCCCCGACTGTTGAGCAGCGATCGCAGGTAGGCTCTTGCAAGATGATCGATGCCCTCATGAATCCGGCTGTTGACTGGCAGTGTGGTGATCATAGGATCTTCATTAGCTATGGGGAGGCTATACTTGGATCCTCTGCTCATCCGCCGCCATCAGTGCAGTTTGAGATAGTTGATTGCCTGGCATGGTTGTGGTCGAACAGCCTCCTTGCCTGGCTCTGGGTGCTAGTCATCGAGGAGACCTTCCTGGTTCAGGGCTAGATCTGAGAGCTCATGAGGCCCTGAAAAAACGAGAAGGACTTCTGCTTGGCGCTTGGCGACTCAGTGACAAGATCCTCTTTCCAGTTGGTGATTTGTGCGAGTCGCTGGTCATCAATGACTACTCTTGCGTCCCCTCTGGGCCCCTCAGCTATAGGTTTGGGGGGTCTGAGGCCTACACGTGCTTGCAGCGAGCTGGAGTGGGTTTTGAGGAAGAGAAGGTTCTTGGCTCTTCACAGAAGGACAACTTCTGCGTCGAGCTCTTCAGAGCAGCAAGAGGTGGTATATCTCTTTCAGCATATGCTACGCTGTTTGGGGGTGCACCTGCTGCCCTCTCGTTATTGGAGAGGATTGGATCAGGTGGCGCTTCATTGTTGGTTGAAGAGCCCTCAGCTTTCTCGAGCTGTTCTGCGGCCATGTTGTCTGGGAGCTGGGCTTCTTTTTCCCTCCCCTGTCGGTACACATGTCGTTTGGCTGTTTGGTCGCTCTTCTTCGGTGCTGGCCTTTCAGAGAAAGTCGAAGGCATGGTCCTTCCTTCTATCCTCTCGTCTACCGATGAGCTTGTTGAGCTATAGGGGCGACGCTGGCTGTTGTGGTCTGTTATCCGATTGCTCCTTCCCTGGACAAGGTCTACGTCACGGACGCTTCACTTGGGCAAGGTGCAGTTGTATCTACAAGACATCTTCAATCGAAGGTTGGCGCTTCGTGGAAAAGTTGCGACAAGCGTGGACGTTTCACGCGCCTGGTCAACTTTTGCTGTGCTGCCTGGCGCCCCCTTGGTTTTGATGAGGATGTAGACAAGAGGAGGTGTGAAGGGTGCCCCTCTGAACCTTTGGGCTTGCAGTGTGATGTCATTGGGGAGTCCGGAGGAGCTGGCAGAGTGTCATGCTTGACAGAAGGGCTGCGCTTGGTGGTTCCACCTATGGTTCAACCTCGTGGCCTACATGTCTGTGATTTTGGCGGTCGCCGGCCAATGTTGGAGGCTAGAGTATCCAGATTCATGCCTTCGTCGCCACGGTGTTCTACCTTTTCTCCGGCTGCTTCTCCGGCGGTGCGGCCCTACGCATGCCTAAATAGAGGGGGCAGGTGCTTGTCAAGGGTATTTTTTGGAGACTTGATGGCCCTGAGAAATTTGGTGCTTCTTCGAGTTTCCTGTCTTTGTTGGCGGCCTGTTCTTAAGGAGCTGACCTTTCGACTGAGCATTGCCTGGCTGAAGGAGTGGTGTCCTTTGCTGAGACTTGGTCTTCAGGAGGTTATTGTGGAAACATGGACATTTGGAAGACCCCCTCAAAAGGAATGTCCTCTGCTGGCCTGTAGCATGGATGTAGCATCTATGTCGGTTTATTGCTCCGGTGACTATAAGAATGCGAAGATCGAGGGCAACCACATTGAGCCCTCGGCCGTATATGTATTCCGGGTCGATCGACCTTTTGTTTCAGTCCATGCGCGTGCATTGAGGAGTTCAAAGTCGAGGAGGACCTATGCTGGTGGCCTTGTGAGCCTTGTTCTCTATGGCGTGCTTCAGGTTAGGCATTTGGAGAACGAGGAGCGTTTGCATTGGAAGAGATGCAGCCACATCTGCCCTCTAGGGATTGGCTATGTGTTTTCTTTGCTGGAAGATGCTACAGTCCTTTCACCTACACGATATAGCCCTGTTGCTCATCCTGATCGGGGCCGGCCTATGTCTTTGCCTCACTATCGATCTACCCTGAGCACCCTAGTCGATGATGAGACTGCTCTTTCCCTATTTGGTGAGCTTTTCTTCGAGCATGCCGAAAAGGTCCTGACCCAGTCAGGAGCTGTGGACTATGGCAGGCGATGCAAACTTGTGAGATCCCCTTTTCCTGGAGATTTCTGTGGCGACAGGTTTTGCTCGTTCGCCAAAGTTGGTAGTATAGAAGATCCAGGCCGTGGCAGCCCTGTTCTCTTTAGAGGTCGAGCATCGCTGTTTTTTCATGGCCTGTTAGATCCCTTTTGAAGGCTTGGTATTTTCGATGTAGCCACCACCAAGGAAGCCGGTTGAAGTGGGAAATGATGGAAAATGCCCCTTAAGTGGGGCTGACGTTGACCTCCACCTGCGAGCGTGAAAAGAAGGCACTGACTTTAGTGCTGATCCACTCGTGAGCCGGCTCAGCTGGCCCCCCACTCCCAGCCCTTTGAAGTTTGGGCTCCTTGGTGGGGCTGACGTTGACCTCCACCTGCGAGCGTGAAAAGGAGGCACTATATAATGAAGTTTGGAGGATGGACACTTCTTCAGGTTTGGCTGGTCCCCTCTCGTAGGAGATTGATGACCACCACCAAGGGTATCTATGGATATCTATGGTGTCATTTTCCGTTGGATCTATTACTTAGATGCCCTTGTGGTTGGGGTGCCAGGTGAGCATCTTGGACCATCATCTTGCATCCATGTTGAAGAAAAATCAATAATTTGCCCAGCCAATTGGTCCCAGCATGGGAAGAGTGAGCCAGAGTTGTACCACGCACTGATACCATCCCATTCGGTGAGCGGGGCCTTTTGGACTGATCCGGACCGGAATAGTTATCACTCACCAGGTGGCGGATTTCCACGCGGGTGACACAGCGCAGTGGTGGGAGACCCGACAATTCTGGAAGTTGTTGACTCATTTTGACTCTACAGAAACCCGTTCTGAACATTTCCCCCTGAAGATCCCCAGTTGCTGGGCTGGATTCGGGATGGAGGTCTGGTCCTCTTCCCCGTCTTCCAGAGTCCGAGGCGTTGTTTTGTCCAAAAAACCACTCTCCGAGGCGTCGCCCACGGCACAGATCCCACGGGAAGACCGCGATGCGGGGAAGACGTGCGGTGGTCAAGAGGAGAGCACCGGTGATCACGTCGGAGCTGGGAGAGGTGAGGAGTTGGGAGAGGTGAGGACGTTTGGGCTGGATTCGAAAAGAGGATACTTAAGGGTTTGTTCATGTTTCTTCGTTTCTTCGTCGGGTCGACCGTTCTTGTTCGTTTAGTTGGTTCGATGGGATCGCCGGAGGCACGATCTTCTGGGTGCGAACGGATGAGATACGTGCAATCACCTGACACTTGAGGCCTGGTCAAAACCCAGTTACCAGGACCCGACACCGTGGCGTGTCTATAGCCCCTGAGACTAGCTGTGACTAGCTGTGATTCGGGGTGTCCATGAATTCCTTGGTGGTTCTGGTATATCTTAGTTATATATATCCCTACTTCAAGAATTGTACTTTTGCGGAGATGAGACACACCCCGCGTACTTGCTTCGGGGTCACTTGATGTCATAAGGTTTGGCCAGATGCACAGGTTTTTGGTGTGTGAAATCGATCATAATGGACCATAATGGATAACGCGAAAAGGTCGCACAAAGGTCAAAAGTCAAAACATATACAAGAGCAGTGAATGTTCACCATCAATGTTTTCTTGGGACTTGTTTCCTTTGAATCTGGCAAATCCAAAAACCGGGTGATATTCCAGTGCTCAGCTTCCTTACCTTTTTCGTTTGCTGCTTCTTTTTTGTGGGCACAGTGATCTCTGCATGGTTTGACATGGGACATGACTCAGATTCCGCAGATGATCTCCAGGAGTCCGCCACCATTTCCAAGACGCCTTGCGAAGGCGAAAGATGGCGGGGTCGATGGTTCGTTGGGAGGTCGAATCGCAGCTTCATCATGCGAACGCAGAGGCTGGTGAACCGTTTGACCCTGGGCACTTGGCACTACCTGTCTTAAGCCAAAAGATGCAAGACACCAACCTTGGAGAGCTCAGGCCATTCGAGGCATTGTGACATCATGTTCCTTCTTGTTTCTTAGAGTGGAAGACACGGATGACAACAAAGAGACAAGAGACTCCGCCACGGCACCGCAACAAAATGAACTCTAGAGCAGTTTTATCGTCGGTCACTTTTAGTTACATCCCTCAAATAGAAGAGAGGAAGGGCTTGCCGTGAGAATGGCGAGATCAGCCTGAAACCCTCCGCTATCACATACTGTTGTAATGTTTTCACAACCCAATGAATCTCGTACCCATAGAGGTAGATCACTCACCTTTTGAGATCGTTTTCTTTTCGCATGCCCTTTCTCAGCGTTCCTCCACCCTCCACCGCACTGAAGAGAGAGTCTTTCACGCCGCAGGTTGGTCTTTCACGCCGTATGGCAATCGAGAGTTCTTGCATGGCGTCCGAGCCGCAAGAAGAGCGTTCGAGCCACGAGAATGGGCAGCGAGATGGCCGTCCAAGTTACCCACCTGAGGCTTTCTTCGAAGAGATCCTTTGATGATCCTACTTTAAGCATCTTTAAGCTGAAGATTTGGAATTGTTTGACTGGGCATCGCTGGGTAGGTAGTTTGGGAATATCTTGGACACTTCCATGTGGAATCCGGTCGTATCATGCAGAAAATCGATTGGGTCGATGATGTTCCATTCTCTTCGACCGGTCTTAGGCACTGCTGACTTGGACCGCTTCGAACGTGTGGATTTCCACCACTATGAAGGTGTGAAACTGGGTGGACAACGAGAGGGAGGAAGTGAGAGGTCTCGCAAGAAGAAGCTGAATTTCTGAATAGACAGCACCCGGTGGACCACAGGTGCAAGACTCAAGACAACTCAGGACTATTGCGGGGGTTCGCAACTAGTTAGATGCACTTATATATATAATATAGATAGATGAAGGTATATGAAGAGTACTCTGCTTACAATTGTGCACGCTTTTTCCACACAAACACTTTTCTGTGGTTGTTGGGGCAGCTCCAAGTGCAGCCAGTAATTGCCGCCGGTGGAGTAGGCACAGTCGAATTGCATCAACCACCGACATGGATCGGTTATAGACAGCATTTTGCTGTACATTTACTGTATCTCCTTTCGTTCGATGCCTGCGATAGTTTCACTTAAAGGATTAGTTCTCCCACCTATGCTGCCCACCGTTCTGCCGCCGAGGTCGTCGCTGTGTCGCACCGGTCGTCGCGCCGGTCGTCGCGCCGGTCGTGGTGCCGGTCGTGGTGGGGCGGCGCTTTCGACGGCGGCGGCGGTCGTCGTGAGGCAACATGGAATCCAACTGCGGTGTGCCGTCGGGGGCTCCCAGAAGCATTTCCTCTTGTTTCCACAGCTGTGGCTATGGTCAAATTGATACACTGCCGGAGGGAGCGCGCTCGCCACTTCACAGCTCCCTGGGTCTGATCCGCTCAGATCCGGTGGTTTGCGACGATGGCGGACTCATCCCTCCCCACATGTTGGACATGACGTCAGGTGAGAGTCGAAGGTGTGCACCTTCTGCATCCTTCTGCATCCTGCCACCCCTAGCAGCACCTGGCACCTAGCAGCCATGTTCCTCTTCCCCATCTTTTTCTCCCCCCCCCACCGGTGATGTGGACTGATGGACGATGATATAAAGCATGTTTTCATCATGCTTCTGTTAGGGGCTTGGCTCGATTCATCTCGCTTCCATCCCCTTCGATACTCACCGTCCACAACGTCACCGTCCACCGGGTCGAAGTCGTCGAGACCAAAGCTCCTCGCCAGTCGGACCACGACGCGTGGAGACTGGGATGACCGGAGGCCTTGGACGAACAATCGGTTCTTGTGCGACCTCTACGGCTTAGTGGATTTGGATACTGAGAGCGTTCCTTGGATGCATGGGCCCTGGAAACCGGAGGCGAGAGGGTTTTTGCAGCGGATCTGAGTCCTTGAATGAGAGGCCCCTCCATCCGGCCACGGCGTCCACGGTCCGGCCATGGGGGCAGGAAGGGGACAGGAAGGGAAGGGTGTGGAGAAGTCGTGGCAGAGTTCAGCGGAGTGCTGGTATTTCCTAGAAACATTGGTCTTGGATGGTGTGGGGACAATGAGGAACATCCAGAGAGGTTTCAAGAGGCTTTGTGTTTCTTTTTCACTTTAAGGGATTTGATACCGCCTTTGCGGTTGCATCAGCCATTCAAAGGACAAAGGAGCATCCCAGAGCCAAAACCAAGCCCTCTTTCTCAGCCCATCTTTTTTTGCATACTTTTTCTTAGTTGTGCGTCACTTGGGCGTTTGGGGGAGTCGCGCAGGCTGCCCGCCTTTGGTCGAAATGTGTGCTCTCGAAATGTGTGCTTGCATACCAAAGTGGATGTCCTAAAGGCAGCATGTCGTGCCCTGTTGGCTCAAGTGCTGAGTACATCCAGCATGGCAGACCGTTTTTTCCTTTCTACCGACCCACTCACCCGCAAGCACGGGCCTTTGTGTGGGTGAGGGACCTGTCGATGAGTTCTAGTATGAGCCACGCGTTGCTTAGGAAATATCCCCATGTTCCCCTTCTGAGGTGGTCGTTCAGGGGCTGCTTCAGAATTTCTTGAAGGCTGACGGGTGTCGAGTTTGTACATGTGTTGCAGCTCCAAATCCCAGCGGCCTGGTTGTTAAGCATGATTTTCACAATGTCTTGAGGGGGCTCTACTTGGGATTCATGTCCACCGAAAGCTTGCACCTCCAAGTTCAAAGTTTAAGGGAATGGATTGTTCTCATGGCATGATGGTTTCAGAGTAGATGGCATAACCATCCATAACCATAACCTCAAGAGGTGGTTGTTTTTGGCGACCAGCAAATACGCCACCCTGGCGCCTTCCCCGCAAAATGATGCTATTGTGGTTTCCCAAGGCGGTTGATGGTGGTGGGGGGTGGTGTTAGCATTCGTTGTCATGCTTACGAGCATGCATGCTTGAGAGTTTCAGGCATTGTTGTTTGTCTTTCGGAATCACGATGTTCGGCAGTTGCTTGTTGCTGTTTCGGTTATGTGTTGCTGGGGAACTTCCGTACGGGTACGTGGAGTGTTTGAGACCCCGGTACGTGGGTGAATCCTGTCTTTGGACCTTGGGCTCGTCATTGAACTAACTTGGATTTTTGACAGGTCTTGGGGTTGACTTGGATTGGGTGGGTGGTTGCTTGCGACCTTTTGGTCTTTGGTCAACATTTTGTAGAGAAACTCACTGACCAAAAGGAGAGATGTGTCCACTCCTGGCTCGTTGGATCCACGTACATGCAGTGCTGCTAACAGCGTGTGCTGTTCACAAACAGAGCGCGATCAACGGACAATTGCACCAAAGCTTTGAGAAGAACCCATTCACAGTGGACTCGGACTGCTCCAACCCCCCCGGTACCAGTGATGGTTGGCACCGTTTTCCATCTCCATCTTGGGCCGGTGTTCGGTTTGATCAATCACCTGCATGACGAACACAAGACATGGCTGCTTGACGAACGGAGACCGTCTCATGTTGTCTCCTCATCGTGTCGGAACGGTCGTCTCCTCATCGAGCCGAAGAAGTCCGACGGTCCACGAAACGCCTTTCCCGACGTTGAGGCCCCCCAAAAAAGGTTGGGCGACCACGCCAGCAACCTTCACCTCAACTATAGGAAAACAACACCTCTGGCAAGTGAGCCAGCCCCCTTGGTTTTGCTGAATGAAAGACGGGTCTAGATGGTTGGGGGTTGTCCCATCCAACATCACTGTGCGTGGGATCCTCTCCCTCTGGACCGCAGTTGCTCTTCGAGAGGGGCATCACCATGTCTCTTGGCTACAAGGAGGACACAAAACGACTGACACCGAAAAGGGAATGTGGGGGAGAATAAGGGATTTGTGTGGGTCAATGAATACACACCCGAGGTTTATGTAGGCTTACAACATGCTCAAGTGGTTCTTGGTTGCTTTTGCTATCTTTCAAAGATAATCTTTTGCTTGCAACAGATAACAGTGTATCGGATGGTTTGTATCCGAGAGTGCACAGATGGTGTGTGCTTCCCGCAACAAGTCAGGCGTCAACAATGTGTTTGCTAAAGTGATCTAACATGTGTGGGGTCACCCAGCGAAGGAGGCAGGCAAACTCCCTTCCTGGCACCCCAAACTAGGATGTAATTATATATGTAGATTTATGTGTATTTTTAACGATCCGCGTCCCGCTGGGTTCGGACGGCGAGGCTGCGCCTCGATGCCGCGATGCACGTGGGGGGGCGCCCGTTCACGGAACGCGTGAGGAACTCCGGTGGGGAGGGGAGGGACATGATCTAACATGTACTTTCTAAAAAATATGGTTCAACATGGCTCATATTGTTTCATCATAGAGTTTTCATATCATTCTTTGGGAAGGATACAGCCGATGGACGGTCGTGGGGATGTACAGCTCAGTAACGGCCCGGCGTGAAGAGAAACCTCTCCCAGCCACACTGGGATAAGATATTAAAGATTATTAAAGCTTCTTGAACCTTTTTGAAAGCTAATTGGCAGTTTCCATGTCTACTATGCATTTCCTCAGTTTCCTCCCCCACGCGTTCCTCCATGTTTGAGTGGAGAAGATCCCATTTGCAGCAGAAAGGCTTCTAGAAGGTTGGCAAGGTTGAGGTGTGTCGGGCAAATTCATCCTCACGCACCCTTCAAGCCACAACATGAGGGGTGTAGATACCAAAAAGAGTGTCCCCAGGTCTGTGAGACATAGAACAGGTAGTTTGTTCTCTTTGGTTTCGACCCTCACATCACAAGTTACAAGCTATTCCTAGCAGCATCACACACAATGATCTCACACACACCACACTCCGACTCCAAACGCTCTTCGATCTTCGCGGGGTCCGCGGACGGACGTTCCGTTCCCGTCGCCTGGACGTTCCGTCGCCACCCGTGGATCGATGGAGGTCTATCCGGAGTCCTTCTTAGCGATCATGGAGTCCTTCCCCTTCGACTACGTCGTCCGCGGCCCAGAGTCCGTCCGAGTGGTCGACGCGGAACGCGGCCGGGAGTCGGACGGGGTGAAAGGATGAAGCGACTGAAGTGGCTCTTTAGACATGGGATTCTGATGTTTCGACATGGATCCATAGTCCATTTCTTTTGCATGACCTCTCACATCCACACTGGGATTCTTATAGATGTTTCTTGCATCCACATGGGCCGCCCATGACCTCTCACGCGCATGGGCCTTGCGGTTCTTCACGCGGTTTTGGAACAGGTCGGAACCCGACACCGGCGGTGGCGCCTGGCGTGGGGCTCCGCTGAGGTGCAAGAGTTCTTTCCGGGGCCTTTGAAGCTGGGGCGCCCCAGAGAGAGAGGGAGGGGCAGCTGTGAAGGTTTCTATGTTCATCCCCGTTACGCCCGTTGGAACATTTCGGACTGTTCATTCCAGATTTGGTGGCTTCTGTGTTTAGAAGCTTGGCAATGAAGTACAAGTGTATTTGGCAAGGGGTGCAGCTCCATTTTATTTGCTTCAAGAGGCTGTACTTGGCAGGATAAATTCTCGAAACTCTGACACGACAGAAACAGCACATCAAGAAACAGACTCCATCCAACAACAAAGCAAGACCGGGTGAATAACGATGAAATCCGTGGTGGATTTCAGTGGGAAGCTCAGAACCTGTTGGACTTCAAAGCACATGCACCGCTTAGGACTGATGCTCCACTGCCAAATGTGGGACATGCTCTGCTTCTGAGGCGGTTCAGGTGAAATCTGACTGGACCCCAAAACCTTCCGTCTGACCGCTACGTCGAACCGTGAAAAGTCGACTCAGCTGAGCCAGTTGTGTCCCGAGGCATTCTCACCACCCTAAGGCCCTAAGGGCCAAAAACCAGGTCACACGGACGTTTGGAACTCGAGAATGGTGAACTCTTTCATGGTTTTTGGATGCGTTCTTTCGGTGTGTGGAATGTGACCACCTATGGTGTTATGAAGCCAATGATCATGTTGTGAAACCGATTTTCCATTCGTCGTTGCGGCTCTTTTCGGCTCCACAGGCAGTTGCGAGTCGAAGCTCGGGTCGTGGACCGACCGAGGTTCGAGAAGGACACCCTGGCCAAAGCTAGCCAGGTCGGGTCTGCACCTGAGATCCGAGGTTCGAGCGAGTTGGCCAGGCGGAGTATCAGGGGAGTTTCGTTGCGTTTCGGCACCTGATGCTGAAAAATGCCTTTTTCAGGTTGGAAGACCCAAACCCGACCAGGTCAAAAACGTCCTGACTCAAAAAAGACTCAGCCGTTGGAAAGCATTTGGGTCCCACTTCGCAGGAACCCGCCGACGGATGCCTCACGAGGTTTCGATCGGCCGGGTTGGCCTGCAGCCGTCGGTCTGCCGTCCAGAGGTTGAGTCGAAGCCTATACTAAGTCGACTATCTCCCATCATTAGGCACCCTATAGTATGGTCACTTAGTATGACGTTAGGTCTCCCATACTTGAGACCTATCTGAGAGGTCTTGCAAGGTCACTGAACCATTCTTCCCGTCTCACTGAGGACCTTCACCAACTTCGACTTTGGAACGCAGGTCGCACAGGCTCGAGTATCAAGGTTGCTCGTACCATCGCTATTGCCGTTGCTGGGCTACGCTGCTATTCAAGAACATGGGGAGATTGATGGACACTGACCACTCATCACTGACCACTCATGGACAAGGCAGGCGACTCTGTCAGGTCCTTTTCGATACCTTGAACGACGGAGTGTGGAAGAATGCGTCCGACACTGAGACGACTCTCGTGTGCCACTCGTAGACACGACATGCCACAGGTGTGAAGTCGGTGGGTTCTGTTGAGGGTTGACCACAGGTGCTCACAGCACACCTTTTTTCAGCAGGAGAACTGAACCCTGATTTGCTAGGAATTTGTATGGAATTTGTTCAATTTGTTCTCTTTTGTCTTCGGGCGGACAGGGACTACAACTGGCTCACTTCCGCTGCAGTTGCGGCATGCAGCTATCGTAAGTGAGACGAACGTGTGCCTTTTGGCAGCGATGTGCTCTCGTCTTCCCGTGTCGTCTCCCGCCGCTTGGGCGACCGTTGTGAAACGACTGAGGAGCGACCGCTTTGGCGACTTGTTGCACATTGGAAATCCAACACCCGACTGTGTAGCCCGGCCCGGTTGGACGAAGCTGTCGGCATACAGAGGACCCGTGGGACCCGTGTGAAAAAGACTTTGATGGGGCAGTGTCTCAGTTTGAGGATGTGCTATGATGTGCTAAGAGTTTTGTGAGATGCCATTCATTTTACAATTAGGGATGCAAGAGATGAAGATGAAGATCCGTAACATTCTGCAACCTAATCCTGCGTGAGATGTTCACCGATCAAGGCTCTGACAAGGCTCCGACACACATGGTACGTGCTACATCGCGTTACTCAGAGCTTTCTGCTGCAGATCTCAGATCTGAATCGACAATTAGAAAAGAGATCAACTGGGTGCAAGAAAACCAACTCGCTGTTAGTGTGAGACAAAGGTCACTAGTAGCTTGCTCCTAGTAAGGCCAGGAGCTACGTTCGTAGCGTCCTTGCTCCGTTCGTAGCGATGCCCTTCGCTCACCTCATTTGACCCGTTCGCATGTCAGATCCGCCCAGGCATATCAGATTTGCGAGTCCGTGTATCCTCCGGCGTGGCGGCCCAGTCGTTGGCAGCTCTCGGAACATATCCGAACGAGAAGACCGTTCTTTGTTTTTGCGGTGGGTTTGGGTTTGTCGTGGTTGGGCCAAATAGAGGTGTCGTTGCTAGAAACATCTAGAAACCTGTGGTGAACAGACAGTTAGATAGATAGACGATGCATCACAGAATAACGCACGGCGCACTGGAGTTTATGCATCAGAAAACAAGAAGGACGGCGCTGCCGTTCTTCGTTTAGAGACCACTTCAGTATACCGTTAGATGTGCAGTCCAGTCCTAACAGGTCCTGTCGGGGCACAGTTCGTTCGATGTCTTTGTTGGGCTCAAACGTCATGGCATAGGATGGTCCAGAGTCCATACAGCTCTGTCCATATACAGCTCAAAGGCATGCGGCATTCTCTTCAGCTCCCAAATTTTGGGGATGGGTTGCGACATCTCGCACAGTAAACCCCCGTGTGAGGGATGAATTGGTGGCAACTTTGCTCCTAGTAGCTTGCTCCTTCTTCTAAACTTTCCAATGAGATACACCGATTGCAACTAGGGGCTCCTGGCATCGCTTACTACCAGAGCAACATGTGAGCTCATGTGGCAACCACAACGTGTGTGGCAACATACCATTGGATTGGTCGTGATGTCAGGGTCATTGGATTGGTCGTATTCACTTCTTCGGTGTGACGTTTTCACTTGTTCAGGACTGGACACTGTTCTGTACTACCGAAGCACTATGTTTGTTGTTTGTTTACTTGTTCTCCCAGGTCCCAGGACACCTTGCTCCAACATTGCCAGTCAGCGCCATGGGGTGCCTTTCACTTAAGCCCTGAAACCGAGACTGTAGAGGGAGAGACTCGGCACATGTGATTCGAATTGGCCGCTGTGGAGGGCTAAATCCAAACGTGCTGCACTGGGTGCAATGAAAGCACGACAAACTGATGCACATGTCTCGTGTTTTGCCTCAATAAACCACTTCGCCCAATGCGACCCGCACGGGCAGCAACACCGGTCACTTGGAACGCCCAGGATCTTGCACTCGTCTTTGTGTGGAACCTGAGAGGATGGGCGGGTTCGCAGATGGGAGGCTCACACGAGTCCCGAAACGGGTGGGTTAGGCGCCACAGCTCAGCATTGGGGGATCGCCTCAGCCTCGCCTCCCAGAATCGCTCACTTCCTCGGGGGCAGAGTGTGAAAGGAAGAGAAGAGAGACGCAAAGAGGAAATGTCAGGGACAACGAAGTATTATAGTTATAGTGTATATAGTCTATAATAATTACATGTCCAGGCAAAATCAACACACACACACAAGAGTAGACTGACTGCAAGGCCCTTTGCGCCGACTACTTACTTCGGTTGCTCAAGCCCTTCTTGTTTCTATGTGTGTTCAAGTCAACTCAGTTTGATTTGTTTTATTTTGTTCTATACGCTGGGTACTTGTTTTCCACAAAATCCATCAGAATTCTGATGTCAATAGTATTATATCAATGAGTGCTCAAGAAAACCCATCATGCAGATGATGAGACCCGGATCAGGAGGTGACCCTCCGGGCGCTGTTGGCATGTTTTTCCCCAAAGCTCGCTTCAGAACGACGGAAACGAGATCCGATATTGATGAATGAGACTATTTTACATAGTTGATCCATGGAAAGGGGTGAAATATGTAATAGGGCTACTACCCTCCCTCCAACAAGCATGGAAGCTGACCAGGAACGCTTTGTAGAGGAAAACAGTCTTCCAGTAGCCTACGCTCCACTTCCATGATTGTTCCAGGGAGTGTATATATACAGCATATCTTATGTCTCATAGCAGCCTGGAGCTCAGGTACCCATACTAGTACCGCTGAGCTTGGCTTGGGTGGATGCAGGTGAGTGTCTCTATTCTGTGCCCAGCACTTGACATGGATGTTTCATGTCAGTTCATCTCTTCTACCAGGGGTCCAACTAAGGGGTCTCTCTATTTGCTACACCACCAGCTACACCAGCAGCTCCCGCCCGAGATTCGGTCGGCACGCGATCGCTGAGATCGACAATCACGATCAGCAGCGACAGCTTTGGAAACCTGCCAAAGGAGGACCTCCCAGCAGCCCCGTGTGCCGTTGGGATCCCAAGCAGATCCTTTGACGACTGGACGAGTGGGATCGACGGGTCTACGATCGACCACACATCCCCCGGAAGCTTCGGCTTTTTGCGGTCGTTTCACTCGTCAAGAGAGCCACACCAGAAAGAACGGATTTTTTGCAAGCAACTTGCTCGGAATAGCCAGATGTCACTTGCTTCGGACATGTCACTGTTGTTTGGTCCTTGAGCATCTTGAGTCCTCAGTCTTCATTTGCTGCCGTTGATTCAGGTTGGAATGGGAAGGACCGACCTTACTTCGCGCGAGAGGATGGTCGTGGCGCGGCGATGGTGTGGAGCATGCAGCCACGAAAGCGCGCGGAGCTTCACTTGTGCAACCTTTTCCAGCCCCAAAAAGAGGTGTCCGTTTTCACGCAACTGCTATTCTTCACGCCGCCGGATGTCGGTCCGATCACTGCACCAAGTACTGAGCAGGTTTATGGGTTTTTCGAGACCTGGACTCGGTGATCGCCCGCAGCAGGACATCGGCGATTGCAGACCCATGTACAAACATGGAGCTCCCCTGAGACCTGAGTGAGGGAGGAATCAAGGAATTTAGGTCTCAAAGGTGTCCATTGGCCTTTCTGAATTGCACTTTCTCGTCTTCGGGCTTTGACTGAGCTTTGCTCCCTCTGAGGCCTTGAATACAATCTTGCCCAACTCTTCATGCTGGCCGCATCCTCAGCATCGTGAAGATATGGGACTGCAGGGCAAGCTGTGGCGCTGTGACTTAGACCATCCACAAGGGAAATCCGGACTTGCACGGCCACCAAAAGAAGATGACACGTCAGCATGCCATGACGCTGCATGACCCATGTGGCCGTTGTCTATCTCTGTCCTCGTCCCGACTGCAAGGCTTGGCCATATGGAGATGCTGTGCGTGCCCCTGTCGAAGTTGGAGTGTGCTAAGAGATGGCCTGGTTAAGGGGCAGAACATGGCAGAACCCTGCAATCACGCCCTGGCAGAGCTCCCCAAGTAGATGGGTCCAATGTTTTCTTTCCACTTTCATTCTATTGGGACGGCAGGCTCAGGCCTCAGGAGACTCGCTCTTTTGGAGGTCACGGAGGTCACCAGTTTTGGAGGAACGTCCGTCCTTTGTCGATTCGGGCGTCGCACTGTTGGTGATTACACGTAGGTCCCATGCGGGAGATGATGTGTGAGGAAGTGGGGAATGTTAGAAGTGCATATGTCTGTAGCTTGATGCTTCTGGGCCTAATCCATTTTGGAAGGACACATATGGCCCATTTGATTCCATTTGTATATATAATATATTTGTATATATTTGTATACCTTCCAACAGACAGAGACTTCCAGGACCTCAGGACGTCCTACAAACATCTCCAGGTCGCCCAGCACAGTTTTGGTCGTCACACTTGGGCTTGCCAGGCATCATGTCGTCGTATGTGTGAAGCTTAGACCATGCGAAAAGCGACATTTTCGAGCAGTTGTTTGCCCTCTTTTTGCTTTTGCTAGCAGCTTCCCAGGACAACCCTTTTGTAATGGAAATGGGCCGGAAAGAGATAACTTTGGAGTATATAGGTCTGTTGAGGAGGTGAACAACACTTGTTTACGTGGGGCTATTTTGGCTCCCTCAAGACCGGCAATCATGTAAGTAAGACTCAAGAGGGAGGACCAGTGAGAATCAGCAAGCATCTCACAGAGAATGACATGTTGGTTCTGGGAGTTCTGCAACATTATACACTTGTAAACTCGCATGCAATTCTTCACTTCTTTGCCGTTTTGGAATGGCATGCAGGGAGACACCATACCGCCTGGTGAACACTAGTGAAGGCTGCCCAAATCAGGCACAGTGACAGGTCTCCCTGCTAGAAGTTGCATCAAATTGCTCTCCCGAAAGAAACAGAGGTTTGTCTCAGCAAGTGTTTCAACCCCCGGAATCTGGGAGGGTCAGGCAAAGCTTGTTCATTAGAGCGATCCTGTACCACCTGTAAACTCTGGGTGTTGGGTAGTCAACGTGTAGTCCCACATCCCAAGTGGTTTTCAGGATGGACTGTCCACCCTACATGTCCTTCAAACATAGCAACCACTCGAGAAGAAGGTCGTTGTGGAACACATCCGATGCCAGGCTTGCAGAATGAACAAACCATTGGGTTGCTTCGTGTGTTTGGGCTTTGAAGTTTATAGGCCACGGCCGACGTGGAAAAACACCGGGGTGCCACCTGTAGAGGACAGCCATGGTCATCTCCAAGGCTTCCAGGTTTGTAGGGGTTGACCAGGTCATCCAAGGCTCCCAGGTCATC